TAGAGAATTAACTGGAGATCTTGAACCTGGCTAATAATCGTCTTGAAATCTATCATTTTAAAATCCAAAAAACGGCCAACAACAAATTTCTTTATATCGGCATGCTCTGTCTTATACTTATGATCTACAGATTCCCACAGTTCTTTAGCAATGCTTTTGACACTATACACATTGTGCAGTGTATTGTCCAACCCATTGAGGATATAATTCCGACACAGAAAATCACCATGTTTCCATGCATCGACTGCGGCAACCACTTGTCGATCAGTTTCCCCCTCGTTCAGTGCTAGTACTTTTTCATGAGTGAAGTGAGCCAAATTCAATGTGGTAAGATAAAATATCATCTTTTGTTGCCATCTTTTAAAATCATTTCCGTTGAATTTTTCTGGCTTCTCCCCATGATTTACCGGTACTGCCGGAGTCATCACTAGCACAACGGGTGTGGAGGTTTGAGTAATAACAGTCTCAATACTGTTTATTTCAGTTGTCATATTTCTGACGAAATTAAAAAAAATAAAAACAAATAAATAAATAAATTGTACCAATCACAAATTTAAACAAAATAGAAATTATACACAAAATAAACAAAATAATATTGTCTAACAAAATTTCAATGATAAATAGTATATGACTACTATGTTATCAATGAAATTATTAAACAGTATATTACTTCTATTTAAGAAATTCAACAGTATATGACTACTATTTAATTTTTCGAAATAAAATATTCTTCTATCTAACACAAAAATAAATAAAAATAGAATTCTACTGTAAGATTGTTATACCCATAGTGGTGTGTCTGTAAATTAAATGTATAAATTAAATAAACAATAAAATAAAATAATTCAAAAAAAAATTATATAAATTAAATTCCGAATTAAACACTTACAAAAATTAATGTCGAGGCTTGTGTTGGACGCAATCTCCTTAAAGTAGACTTCACCCTCGCTCCGGTGCTTCGAGATTTAACGGCATCTACTTCCCAAGATGCAACGACTGACAGTTGAATTTGCAGCACTACAAAATCAAGTTTGGCGAACCAAATTATGTTGTAACTCTCTCTTTCTTCCTAAAATTAAATATAGAATAGATGCAGAGAAACACAGAGAAGAAAGGCAAAATTTTGATACAAGAAATGCTGGAAGGCTAGCTTTTTATAGGAGAAATAGTGGCTATTCTGAACAGGTAGAAACCTATTTGGACAGATTAAACAAGTACCAGACAGATTTGAATCTGTTTGGACAGATTCAATTTGAATTGAACAGGTATGAACCTGTTTTGAACCCTTTGAACCTGTTCGGGTGGGTCAAAACCCGCTAGGGATCTATTTAGGTGAAACAAAAATTATGGACCAATTTATTTGAAATTTTGAAATCAAAATTAAAAATAAATAAATAAATTACAAATGTTTTTAGCCCAAAAAAATAAATATTGGGTCGGACAAGCCCAACCCAACCTCACACCTGCGCCTAAGCCTCCCGACCGATCGGACGGTGGCGGCATGCACGTGTGGTTTTTTTATTTTGAGTCCAATGAGTCTACCCCACTTTACCCATAACTTCACCATTCCACAAACTTAGGTACCTTTTGGGGCTCATCCCAAGTATCCCAAGTTAGAGTATATAAACCCATTCAAAATCTCAAGCCTTTCCAATGTGGGACAAGCATATTTCACAAATGTATAGGAAACCTATTTAAAGCCATTGCCACGAACCCAAAAATGCGCGTTGAATTCTCATGCATCCGGAAATGGTTTTGAGCAACCAAATACACAGTTTTATTCACTACATAGCATTAAACATGAACCCAATAAAAAACGTTAAAAATAACGCTTGGGTCTCACCTTAATTAATGCTCAAAATTAGCAAAAATTAAGGATTTTTTAAAGCTTTCAAAGTTTTTCAAAGCCATTTTCCAACATAATACATAATACGGAGCAGTGACGAAAACAGGATACAGTTCACAGTGTAATATTCTCAGTTCCATTTATTATTTTATTTATAATCTGGCAGGATTTTCTTTTAAAGCTGTTGGTAGTGTGGTACATAACTAACTTTGATAATGTGGTGTCTTTGTCTTGGCAGCCCTCTTTTGTGCTTAATAGTTGTAATCTTCATGCTTGTGCTTGTTGAAGGTGAGTATATGGTTTCCTTCTATTATTCCTTTATGTATTTTTTTTTTTTTTATTTTTTTTTTTTTTTTTTTTTTTTTTGAGTAAATTACATTTGCTTTGGTTAAGATTTGGATTAAATACATCAAATCCCATAGGTTTGGGTCATTTGCTTCACACTGATCTCAATTTCTATTAGTTAATTGGTGAGAAGATAAATGGAATGCGATGATTTTTCACTATTTTTGTACTAAAATGTGTATTTTTCCTTAGTTAATGCTAAGTTTGCGAATTAAAATACAAAATAACCAAGTGTAAATTGGTATTTTTGCTTGTTTAGTTAACAGTGTCAATGCATAGTAGGAATGGCAACGGGCCGGGTCAGGGCCGAGGATCGCCCTCCTCGTCCCCCATCCCCGATCCTCAAAGGGCAAAATATCCCCGTCCCCGCCCCTGATCCCCGGCGGGGAACCCATCGCCCCCCCGCCCCCAACAGGGATCAGGTTTCCCCGACCCGAAAAATCCCCGACAATCATCAACCATAACAACTTAACTCTGAAAACTCAAATCTGAAAAATCCCTCCAAAAGCCTCAATCATCAACAATTTAACAAAAAAAAATTAAAATAACTCAACAATCATCAACAATTTAGTATGTCTGTTCATTACACACACAGATCTAAGAAAACCCTAACAAACAAAAAAAAATTAGAGCTGAAAGCAGAGTAAATGGAGGGGAGAAAAATGAACGAGAGAGAGAGGGAGAGTTGAGAATCTAAAACTCTAAACTAAACACACATATATTATATATATATATATAATATGGGGTAACAGCACGGGAGAGAGAGAGATCTGCTCGTCGTCCTCACATCTCTCTGCTCATCGTCGTCGGAGGTGGCACTCGTCGTCGTCGTCATAGTTGGAGTTGGCGTCGTCGGAGGTAGGTTTGGTGAAATCTGAGTGAGGGAGAGGGAGAGAGACAGTAAGAGGGAGGAAGGGAGATGAGAGGCACATCAGTGAGTGTGAGAGGAGGGTTTGGTTTTGAGTGAGAGTGAATGAGTGAGAGAGAGTGAGAGAGAGAGTAAAAGAAAGGGAGATGAGAGACGCATCAATGAGTGTGAGAGGAGGGTTTGGTTTTTATATATATATATATATAGAGGGATAAAATGGTAATTTCACTTCGGGGATAAACAGGGACGGGCAGTTCGGGGATAACGGGGACGGGGGCGGGGACGGGGACGGGCCGGGTACGGGCTGGGACACTTATCCCCGTTCCCGGCCCGAAACTAATCGGGGATTGATTTTTAAATACCATCCCCATCCCGTTGGGGATATTTTTCGAAAAAAAATCGCTCAAATCGGGGTCGGGGGGAAGGATCCCCGTCGGGCCGGGTTCAAATTGACATACCTAATGCATAGGGGATGTCAAACTAATTTTGTTAAACTTAAGAAATTTGTTGTATTTAATTCAAACATTAAAGAAATCAATATAATTTACCCATTATTATTATTATTATTATTATTATTATTATTATTATTATTATTATTATTATTATTATTATTATTTTCTATTTTAAAATGAGAATCTTTGATCTTAAAAATTGTTTTTAAATTGAACTAAATTGACATGTGTATCTCTTTATATCATTTATCCCACTAATGGTAAGTATATATATCTTCCGGTAAAAAATATAAATTCAAACTTGTATGAAGTTTCCTTGGTCACCTCTCCATGGATCAATGATGATTAAAGTGGGCCTAGTATTGCATGTACATATATAAATATGTAGATAGTGCTAGTGCTTGGAACAAAACTAGAAGTGATAGTAGCAAGAATGGCTCTACAACTCAACAATCAGGACAATGTAATCATAGGAGCCCCTCTTGTTCAACCCCGTGATGATCTTTTCTGGTTTGGACGGCCTAGATTTGTTCTCACTCTTCTCCATTTGACTCTCTTTCTGGTACCTACCTACCTACCTATTTTAATTCCTTCTTTGTGTTAATGCAATGTGTTTGGATTTTAAATTTATAAAATAAAATAAAATAAATAATAAATAGATAATTTTTTATTAGGTAAATTATAAATATATTTTTTGAAGGTTGCTTAAAATTCAAATACCCTCTTATGGTTCTAAAAATTGCATCCCGTCCCTTAAAATTTCTTATTTCATAATAAATGGTCCGTTTTATCAATAAATCATTAAATCAATTAACAATTTTAATGATCTCATAAATATATTTCAATTAATAATTCAGGTAATTTTATTATTATATAGGAGAGCAGTTAAAAATTTTATTTTTTCAATTGATTCTGTTAAATAAAAAAATTCTTACAAGGGGGTATTTGTAATTCTCCATACCACAAGATGCAATCCGTATTTTATGTAAGCCTCAGGGAGTGTTCTTGTAATTTACTCATTTCTATTTTATTCACTTTCATTTCTCTACACTGAAGAAAAAAACAAGAACTAAAAAAAGAATTTAACTAAAAAGACAAACTACTCTTAAGCTGTTTTGGATTATTAGAGTGCTAACAAATGCCTACATTTTTTGCTGATGATTTGAGAATGCTTTCGAGCTTGCATTCTTCATTTGGGTCACGGTAAGTCTTTTCCTCCTCTTTCTGTGTTGAGAAATAAAATTAAACTAAAAAATAAAAAATAATAAAAAAAGCATACAATTAAATGATATTCGGAACACAAAAAAGTCTAGAAGCAGATAAAGATCTTAGCCGTTGGGCCGAGCCAACAGATCGAGCCGCTAATCCTTCAGTGACAAGCCCACTCGACAGAAAAAAACACAAAATATAGCGAGTGTAAGAATATATTAATTTTGATAGTGCAACTTGTTTTGAAGACGATTACAGATTCTGATTTGTGAAGTCACAATTATTATAAACTTATTACTATCTGATAGAAGCATGTTAAAATATTTTTTTTCTGGCTTTTTCTGCAATTTCAAAGCCTCAGAAATGACTAATTTATTTAAATTGTTCTTCCAGGTACAAAACCTTCTTCAATAGATGGTGAGTTGTAATGTACATCTTATGTTTTATAGCTGTAACACTTCTACCATTATTGATTTATGCACTTTACCTAATTTTGCTTCCATATTTTGATGCAGGAATCCAGACCAGTGAAGATTACAGATTCTATGCTATATCAACTGGGTTAAGTGAATTGAGTATCAAGGACAAGACATTAAATTAAATCAAAACTCATGGGGTTTGTCTTAATGTTTTTCCTGTTATTTTTTGGCGAATGTTAAAACATAATTTGTGGATATGTTATTTTGTAGTTAATGGTAATTGTATATTAAATTGAATGGGAAAGTGAATTAATGTTGTATTTGCTAGTTGGCAGCTTTTCATATAATTGGTTTATCTTTTGACAAATGTTCATTTGAATGGGAACGGGAATTATTGACTCATATTAGTACTATTTTTCAATTTTATTACAGGTATTTTTTGGTTCAACCACATAGAATTAGCACAATTTAAAAAAAATAAATTAAAAAAATAAAGATATAATGGCGTTTTTTAAAATGCCACTATACAGTCAAGGGTTATATTTTTAAAATCCAAAAAAAAGCAATGACGACGTTTTTAAAACGTCGCTAAAAACAGTCATGACGTCAGTTTAACGTTATGTATCACATTTAGCGGCGTTTTTTAAAACGCCGCCTATAACCATTTAATGACGTTTTTAAAGCGCCCCAATGTTATAGCGACGGCCGCAGCTTCGACGTTTGATGCTAAGCGCCACAAAAAGAATTAACGGCGTTTTTGACACTTATAGCGACGTTTTTTAAACGCCGCTAAAAGCTGAATTTCCTGCTGTGCCCACTAATGGTAAGTATATATATCTCCCGGTAAAAAATATAAATTCAAACTTGTATGAAGTTTCCTTGGTCACCTCTCCATGGATCAATGATGATTAAAGTGTGCCTAGTACTGCATGTACATATATGAATATGTAGATAGTGCTAGTGCTTGGAACAAAACTAGAAGTGATAGTAGCAAGAATGGCTCTACAACTCAACAATCAGGACAATGTAATCATAGGAGCCCCTCTTGTTCAACCCCGTGATGATCTTTTCTGGTTTGGACGGCCTAGATTTGTTCTCACTCTTCTCCATTTGACTCTCTTTCTGGTACCTACCTACCTACCTATTTTAATTCCTTCTTTGTGTTAATGCAATGTGTTTGGATTTTAAATTTATAAAATAAAATAAAATAAATAATAAATAGATAATTTTTTATTAGGTAAATTATAAATATATTTTTTGAAGGTTGCTTAAAATTCAAATACCCTCTTATGGTTCTAAAAATTGCATCCCGTCCCTTAAAATTTCTTATTTCATAATAAATGGTCCGTTTTATCAATAAATCATTAAATCAATTAACAATTTTAATGATCTCATAAATATATTTCAATTAATAATTCAGGTAATTTTATTATTATATAGGAGAGCAGTTAAAAATTTTATTTTTTCAATTGATTCTGTTAAATAAAAAAATTCTTACAAGGGGGGTGTTTGTAATTCTCCATACCACAAGATGCAATCTTTTATTTTTTTAATTGATTCTGTTAAATAAAAAAATTCTTATAAGGGGGTATTTGTAATTCTCCATACCACAAGATGCAATCCGTATTTTATGTAAGCCTCAGGGAGTGTTCTTGTAATTTACTCATTTCTATTTTATTCACTTTCATTTCTCTACACTGAAGTAAAAAACAAGAACTAAAAAAAGAATTTAACTAAAAAGACAAACTATTCTTAAGCTGTTTTGGATTATTAGAGTACTAACAAATGCCTACATTTTTTGCTGATGATTTGAGAATGCATTCGAGCTTGCATTCTTCATTTGGGTCACGGTAAGTCTTTTCCTCCTCTTTCTGTGTTGAGAAATAAAATTAAACTAAAAAATAAAAAATAATAAAAAAAGCATACAATTAAATGATATTCGGAACACAAAAAAGTCTAGAAGCAGATAAAGATCTTAGCCGTTGGGCCGAGCCAACAGATCGAGCCGCTAATCCTTCAGTGACAAGCCCACTCGACAGAAAAAAAACACAAAATATAGTGAGTGTAAGAATATATTAATTTTGATAGTGCAACTTGTTTTGAAATTATGTTGAATGTGGAAAACATAAAACAACATTTCATTGTATAAAAAATTAAGTCACAAAAATAAAAAATTATTGGATGGTTCTAGTCCTAGACCAAATAATCAGCTTTGATTTGATCACAAAGTTCATTCATGATAGGTTGTGAGGGCAAAGTGAAATCTATAGGATCTTACCACGTTGGAACCACTCAATATGGTGAAAATATAGGAGTTGGGACCTTTTTTTTTTATATGGCCTACTATAATTGATCAAAATCAAGGAAAATTGATATGATAGTCACAAACTTTTAAATAATTTTTTTCAAAAAATTATCCACATAGATGGGGTGTGGGTCTCACAAAAATCCCACAACTACCTGTAAGCTTAACTCATGAAATTGGTGGACCACATATATGAATATGATTATAAAAATAAAATGCTATATAGCGTGAATTTTCCTTTCAAAATTTATTGCAAAAATGACGTTTGTGGTGTTGATTTGAAGTTGGTAGAAGTCAAGGCACACTACAAGAAAACTGGGTATATGAGACGGAACTATTTGTGACGGCACACTTGCCGTCTCAAAAAGTCACTTTTTATGACGACAGAAAATGCCGTCTCAAAAAAGCAGAGTATTTGCGACGGCACCATTTGCCGTCTCAAAAAAGCAGAGCATTTGCGACGGCACTATTTGCCGTCTCAAAAAATGGGAGTATTTGTAATGGTATTTTCTGCCGTCGCAAATACTCTCATTTTTTGAGACAGCAAATAGTGCCGTTGCAAATGCTCTGCTTTTTTGAGACGGCAAATGGTGCCGTCGCAAATACTCTGCTTTTTTGAAACGGCATTTTCTGCCGTCACAAAAAGTGACTTTTTGAGACGGCAAGTGTGCCGTCACAAATAGTTCCGTCTCATATACCCAGTTTTCTTGTAGTGTGCCTTGACTTCTACCAACTTCAAATCAACACCACAAACGTCATTTTTGCAATAAATTTTGAAAGGAAAATTCACGCTATATAGCATTTTATTTTTATAATCATATTCATATATGTGGTCCACCAATTTCATGAGTTAAGCTTACACGTAGTTGTGGGATTTTTGTGAGACCCACACCCCATCTATGTGGATAATTTTTTGAAAAGATTATTTAAAAGTTTGTGGCTATCATATCAATTTTACTTGATTTTGATCAATTATAGTAGGCCATATAAAAAAAATAAGGTCCCAAACTCCTATATTTTCACCATATTGAGTGGTTCCAACATGGTAAGATCCTATAGATTTCACTTTGCCCTCACAACCTATCATGAATGAACTTTGTGATCAAATCAAAGCTGATTATTTGGTCTAGGACTAGAACCATCCAATAATTTTTTATTTTTGTGACTTAATTTTTTATACAATGAAATGTTGTTTTATGTTTTCCACATTCAACATAATTTCAAAACAAGTTGCACTATCAAAATTAATATATTCTTACACTCACTATATTTTGTGTTTTTTTTCTGTCGAGTGGGCTTGTCACTGAAGGATTAGCGGCTCGATCTGTTGGCTCGGCCCAACGGCTAAGATCTTTACCATTTTTTCCATTCCCGCGCCCCCAAAATCCCCAACCTGTTTAGAACAAAAAAAAACCCTAAATCTAATCGTCTCCCTCACATCACTCTCTCAGTCACCTCTCTCTCTCTCTCACCCTCTCGTTTATCTCTGCACCGATCTCGTTCATCTCTGCACCGATCACTCTGTCACTCTCTCGTTGTTCATCTCATCGATTCGCACCGATCATCGCACCGCCGATCTACTCACAGGTAAACTCTCTCTCTCAATCTTTTTTTTCTCGGGAAAATCTCTGGTATTTCCATTCAGGTTAGTGGTTTAATCCCTGTATTTAGCCATTCTGTGATTTTTCCCTGCGTACTATCTGCTGAATTTGTCAATTTCATGTCTATAAATTAGGGCTTTTTTTTTTCTTTCTCTTCTTCTTCTTCAATATGATCTCGATTTTGGCGGCTGAGATTGTTGAATTGCATGTATTACGATGTGTTTAGATCTTTTTGAAATAAACAATGTCGATTTTCATTCGTGTTTTATTAAACAATGTGAATGATTAACGTGTATTTGGGCAGTCCTGTGTTGGTGGGTTGGGTTTCTTTGCCTGCCTAGGTGTCCTTTGTAGTTGGGAAGTAAGAACATGGTTTGGTACTTTAAATGCATGAAAATGAATTTGTTCACACACTTTGGGAGAGTGTAATCAAAGCACAGAATCTGATTGGTCTGAAACTGTGGGCACTACATCTAAAAAGTTTGTGCTTTAAAATAGGGTTTGTAATAAGTTTTGAATTGCTCAAATAAGATTAATAACATACTATTTAAAATTTATTATTCTATAATTTTGATAATGTGTAAATTTATTGAGATATATTGAATCAATAATGTTATAATAATCATATTATGTGTCATATTTTGGGAGTTGGGGTTTTGTTATGCCTTTGAGGCACATTAGGGGGTGCTATCCACTTCATTGAGGTTCACACCACACACATTTTTATGATCTCATGAATTGTTCATATCGTTTCGTTGAATAGAGAATTCAAGTGGATTGTATATCAATAATCACAAGATCGAATTTTATTTTTCTTTAATAAAAATTAAAGGCAAATGTGATTTTAAATTATAAGTCATCTATTTGTCTACCAATATTCAATCAAGTTGATTTTTTACCTAAATGATTTGTAACACTAAAATTTATAGTAGCCCAGATAAAAAAATTAAAAGCCAAATTTAGAGTGAATGTTTTTATTGGCCCACTTAAAAATTCACACTCAAGATTACATTATGGGGGAGACTGTTGTAAGCCAACTAGTCTTGTTTTTTACTTACCTTCTATCTATGTAGGACTGGTATGTTTATGTAGGGGATCAATTCTTTTGCTGGGCCAGACACATGCAAAGAACACATCATATAGATACATGCCTATGGAGTTCTAAATCTTTTGCAGGGGCCATCAAGGATGTATTATTTTGGGGTTGTGATTTTGAACTATGTGGAAATTTTGTCTGAATGGCCTATTTCTTCTAAATATGGCCAGCCTGACTGTCTCTCTCCATTTTTGGGCACAGTCTCTGTTCCTTGACCATGTAGAATGTTCAACCTAGTTTTTGGCCAAACCTCTCTACCATTATGATGTCCAATTTTTCCAATCCCCACTTCAACTAGGAAATCCTTAAAAAATTTATCTTCGGGTATTGTTATTTATAGGCACTTTAAGTACCCAATTTAATTTGGTTTTATACACTCAGAATACAACAAACTTGTTGGGTAGAGTCAAATGGACAATTCAAATTGGGCAGATAAGGTTCTTAGATGATATTGAATGCTACATCCTTTGTATTGTGCATTTTACATCTTATGTTGCAAATTTCGGGTCAATTTTATTGATTATGAAAGCACAATAACTGAAAATTGACCTTTTAGTGTATAAGTCTTACACTAGTTGTAGTATGGCCTTTATGTGCATATTGTATTCTGCCTGGTTAAGTTATATGGTTATGAAAATTTAATTCTGCTTTTCATTGGTTTCTTTATCTTAACTTCTGATTCTTAGATTCACGTCATTCTTACTTTATTTATCTTCTCGCCTGGTTAAGTATATGGTTATGAAAATGTTAATTCTGCTTTCATTGGTTTCTTTATCTTAACTTTTTATCTAGTACTTGTCACAAACCACCAGATTTGCTGTTCTGTGTTTAATGGGTTATGTGGTTATAGGTCGTTTGGATGGCAGGAATGAAGTGGCGGAATGAGAATTTTATTTTAAATCTCATTCATTACATTGTGACATCTGAGGACAAGAATGTAATCCCCAATTTGAGCAACAAAAAATTTGTGTTTATTTTTCAAGAAAAATGGTATGTTCCACGATGAAATTTGATCAGTTAGATTTCGGGTAAATGTTTACATGAACGAGATGGCTGGTTGCGTTGAATCCTCGGTTGGGAGAATCCTTTGCTCACATCTCCAACAAAAAAATCACATTAATATTTAAGAATAAAACTAGTAAATTGACTCATATCTAAATATATAAAATTATATGTCATTTTTTGTAAATTCCTAACCAAATCAATCACTTAAATTGAACTGACACAAATTTTATTACCAGTAATGGGATTTGTAGTAATAGAATTCACGATTCTTGTCATCCAAACATAACCTAGTAAAATTTCATATACCCCTTACATAAATAATCTAACTGAGCAAATAACACACTATTATATTTGTTATTGCTAAATTGAAAAGTAGATGTGCTATGACAATTTGAATTCTGAAGACAGCCCTATGTCCTTATACCTAGAGATAAATGATATACCTTACTGAACCAATGACAAACATGAGAGGAGTCCTCAAAGGAGGAGTAACAGTTTACATGTCATCTAGTCAACAACTACATTCAACTAAACATAGCAACAAGAATAGCACTAAACAGATCTGATCTTAAAAGTTTTATTTTGGAACTATTTTGAGATATAATACATTGCTGGGACTTGAACTCATGCATTGTACCATAGTTGTTTCCATGGATCTGGAAAGCCTCAGGACTTCAGATGCCAACGCTGAAGTAAAGATGCAACTCCTTTGGTCCCCAGTATATGGAATTGCACTGAGCCAAGCTTCCTGAAGTGAATCGGCTTCCTTGTCGGGATGCTGCTTCTATGGAGCTAAAATAATCCAGATTTTTGGGGCCGGAAATGCTCCAGGTGAGAAGTACAATCATTAGACTACTTTCAAACTGCTCTTTGGAGAAATGGACCTGAGAAATGTAATTGCTCAAGATAAATCAAACTAGCCAAGAACTTTTTGAAATAGAAGCACTCTAGCAAGAAAATAAATGCAACAACAATCAGTAATAGATTCTGTCAAGAAGACAGCTTGCTTAAATGGGTAAAGAAAAACAGTTGAGATGAAGATGATCCACTCCATTTCTGGTAGGAAATAGAGTTCTTCATGTCAAGGCATAAGGTTGTAACACAACATCGAAACCCAAAATCAATAGTTTATGAATGCCACATCATTATGAGCTTAGAAACCTCTCTTACCCGTTTTTGAGTTTAAAAAAGTTAAAATAAAGATTTGTACATGTGGCTCTTTCAGCCATTGATCATGAAATATCAGAGCTGGAGTATCCAAGAATGGGTATGGTGTGTGTTCTTGGCCTACACGCAGCAAATGCTGTAGAGTGAGCACATTGCGTGTGGGAAGAGTATGAAGCAAGGTCCTACTACATTGTTGATGCTGCCGAGTGAGCACATTGCATGTAAGGTGGGTATGAAAGTAATGTCCAGGAAAAACCTGCAATCGAGTATGACATTTTGTCCCATTGCACGATCATACGTGAATCTCGACACATGATTTGCATTGGGATAGAGAAACTAAGTGATTTAGAGACAGAAAATCCCGTGCCATGTATATGTAATGTTTTACTTTATGCATTGAAGAATTTGTTTATGAAAACATGAGATTGAATATGGAAATATTTGAATAGGTTGTGGGTTTCAAACAAAGCAAAGATACAGATTTGGGTGGTTCAGCATGAAGCTCAAGTTGGTGGGAGGTGACTCTACTGGTGTTGTGACAGCTTATTATGTATGATTGATGATTGTACAGATTATTACCAAATTTGCCCTTAGCAGATTTTGTTTTTATTTGTTTTTGGGAAATAACATGAAGGGTAAAAATGTAAATTTACGCAGATGTGCTCAGAGAACGGGGCGGGCCCAACGAGAGATGAGTTGGATATTGAGTTTTTGGGGAATAGAACAGGGCAGCCGTACCTCATTCAGACCAACGTTTACAAGAATGGAACTGGAAACCGAGAGATGAGGCACCAGCTTTGGTTTGATCCCACTGAGGACTTTCACTCCTATTCTATCCTCTGGAATTCTCACCAGATTCTGTGAGTCTCTCTATTAATTCATTGATTTGTTACTACTATTTTTTTAACTTCAAATTGTCATATAATTTATTTCTCTCTAGTCCACATTCCGGGTATAACAGTTCAGCCCAACACATTATGCCACCTACGTTATATTTTTTTGTAAATCAAAGTTTTAGGTTTTGTTGACTTATTAACCCATCAAATATGGGTTGAAAATTTTTTGTTGGATCTAAAATTGGGTTTGGAAATAGGTAGATAAAATTTGAACTATTACCTTTTAAAAAATATTGACGTGGCGAGCATGAGGTGCTCAAACTAGACATCCAATCCGGGTAGATTACCTTTCTTATTGGCATTCACGAGACAATAATACTACAAACTTACAAAAAATGTGTAGAAAAATATGCAAAATTTGAATTAGATTAATCCTGGGTGTAGCCTATTTAATAATATAATACTAAGGCTTAAATCTATACTACACATTTAAATTTTGAGCAATGTCGTAACATTCCAAGGTGGATGTTTGACCCCTAGACTAATAAGGTTGATAAATACCTAAACAAAATCTAACTCAATTCATAAATGAATTACACCTCCATAACAGTAGCTTAATCTGAGATCAAGTTTAACCAAGCATCAATCTATGGTCAATAAGTTGCTAGTAAGAAATATAACGCAAATCCCTTTATTTTAATTTATGTTTTTTATATGGTTTCAAAGCGCGGAAACAATATTTTCATATATGGGTAAAAGTTTCGTAGATCTTGCTGGGTTCAAAGCATGGAAACAACATTTCCATACATGGTGGATGGTACTCGTGCACACACACGCCTTTCCTCATATGCCATCATAGTTGGGGATAGCTGATTTTTGAGTTGTCATATGAAAATGAGCAAAACTTGGTCCTAATGACAAGGGTAATGCTGGATAATTAATTCAATGAAGCACTTATTAATTATAATTTCAAATTTTTTCTTATCGTAATTAACAAAATAAGATGATAATAAAAGGAACAGAAACAACTATAGTGAGCTCAACTTTGGTTTGAGACTGAACCAGACCAGATGAAATCAAGTTGTACTTCTTGACATAATGGGTCGGTATTCTTTCCTGGTTATGTAAAACTGGGACAGCTGATTTATTCAAATAATTGGGATCAAGCGAGAGCAATTTGCTTTGGGGCAAATTGAGGTCAAATATCTTGCTTAGTTGCTCCATGTGGACTTGACGGTTAGAGATGTCCATGTGGTGGGAATCATGCATGATGTATCCTGTAGAAAAAAGTGTTGCACCTTTGATGTTTACTCAATATTAACCCGCTTTAGTTTAGTCTGTTGGCATAGTCTGTTGGCATATGTCCAGTCTTGCTTCTCTTGAATTCACACACATTGGCAGACTATTGACTGTTGCTTAAGCAGGTATTTGGTGCTCTAAGGACAACAATGTTCATATTAGGAATGATTTCTGTATTCATAGGCATTTCTTTCCATTAGAGCTATTAGAACTCCAATATTAGAGCTCTAAAGCATTTATATCGTCTCCCTCTCATCTTTCCTAACAACCATAGATCATAAATTATTGCACAAAAAATACAGAAAATAAAAAAAAAATTTAATTTTTAGTGGACACCCTGTTTTTTTTATTTTTTCGTAAAAATTTTTTCGTTACACCTGATTAACTACCATATATAGAGTTAATTGTAATCACATATTAGTATTCTTCTCACAATTCTTTATGATGGACCCTCTGCATGTGAGTTCCTACAAAATAAATTTGTGTATTCTACAATCCAAGACAGGTAGGAACCCCTTAAATCCAACCCTTCCCACTCCACCAGACATGAAAAAATTCCCAGGTATATTACAATAAGAGTTTATTACACTATTTTGGACTACATTGAATTCCATTATTATTATTATTATTATTATTATTATTATTATTATTATTATTATTATTATTATATTATTTTTTTGTGAGCAGGGAAGCGTTTGGTTTCTCCAATTGAGAGATATGCAGTTGTTCTCGATGACAACGTAAGTGTTCTTTCCACAGTCTTCATTGTCTTCGTTACTGGTGTTTAAATAGTTGGTTTCTCCAAAAGATTATAATTTGCAACTGTTATCTATTTATTTGTAGGTCAAAAGGATAAATTTTGCCGGAGGGGAAGATCTGATTCTAGAAGTAAGAATGTTGGAGCTTGATTTTTGAAATAGGCTCAAAATTGAGATCTTGTTGGAAATTTTTTAATTTTTGTAAGAGTATTTAAATATCCAATGTGTTGATTGGTGAATTTTAGATTTTATTTTATTATTATTTTTTTTTTAGGATTTGGGTGAATTTTATAATTTAAATATGCTTTTATGAACATGTACAGTTTAATTGTTCTTTGTAAAATATTGAATTTGATGGTTTGATCAATTTAAATTTTTATTTTTATTTTCTGTTATGATGTTTTTGTGAATAGAATGTAAATAATCAGCTTTTAGAGAGAGACGGCGTCACTGTCGGAAAAAATAGAAAATTTTAATATTTTTATTAATTTTGTTACAAGTTTTACTTTTTGCGACGACATTATACTGCCGCAAAAAATAAAAATTTTATTATTTAAAATAGAAATTTTATTATTTTTTAATATTTTTTGCGACGGCATTACACTGTCGCAAAAAATAAAAAATTTCATATTTTTTATATTTTCTGCGACGGCACCACACCGTCGCAAAAAAGTAGTGTTTTTTTTAAAAAAAAGACTATTGGCGACGATATTTTTTGCCGTCTCAAATAACATTTTTAGCGACGGTAAAATAGGGCCGTCGCAAAAAAGTCAAAAAATTTCAAACGTTATTAGCGACTGCACGGTGCCGTCGCAAAAAGGCAAAAAATGCCGTCGCAAAACATTAGCGACGGCACTTACCGTCGCAAAAACTCTTTTGCAACCCCTGCAGTTGTGACCCCCCTCTTGCCGTCGCAAAAAGTTGTTTTGCCGTCGCAAAAAATATTAGTGACGGCATTAGGAGTATTAGCGACGGTATTTTACCATCGCAAAAAGTCAATTTTTTTTGTAGTGGCACTCCCAAAATTATAGTGGTCCCTATATCTATATAATATGGCAGAACGATTATTGAAAATATATAAAATGTATTAAAGATATATTTGATTTGAAAGGCTGAGATCAATTCTAATAAACATCAATGCTTCAAATGATGCTTTGATTCTCACCCAACACCCAAGTACTCCTCTCCCCAAGCAGCACTAACTTTTGCCTCCTTACCTACTGAGAGGGTAATTTTTGGTAAAAATTGGGCCGAGCTGTGAGATGGACTTTGTGGGCCCAAAGTACAAAGGACAGTGTAAAAAGGCCTTAATGTTGAATCCAGCCCAAGAGAGGTAAAGTTACTCCGGTTCAAGAGTGATAAAGTACTCCGGCCCAGAAGAGATGTTGAGTTACTTCGGTCCGTGCACTCGGAGTAAGTCCGGTCTCAGAATTAGTCCGGTCATGGTGTATCCTGAATAGGTCGGTCTGGTGGTACCTCTGAGTTAGACCGACCTAGGAGTTATACTGGTCGGAATTTGTTAAGTTTGGTCCAACCATGCCATGGGTTGAGCAGGAGAGAACCGAGATAAGGAGGAGTAAAAGCGGAACCGAACTAAGGTAGTTCGGCCTACTCAGTGGCTCTGCATAGTCAAGTTTATTTTGGTCATGTTGTAGTTCGACCACGGTACAAACCATCTCACTTGGTTTAAGCAGGGAGGGAGGTGTTGAAGGATAAGTATTATCTTTCAGGAGTATGAATCCTAGGAGGACTCTGCATGGAGGAGTGTGAGTCCTACTAGGATTGTGCCACTCGAAACCTATAAAAGCTCACAAACATCACCTTGGAGGAGGTAACTGAACACAACACACAACTTTGCTTTCTGAATACACAGAGCTTTTTGTCTATTTGTCAAGCTTACTTACTTAGGCATCGGAAAGGTTTTCGGCACACACCCGCCGGCTAGCTCACGTTTGTGTTTTCAGGTGATAAAGCGACGTCGTACGGAGGAGCGTGGACTTAGTCAACAGGATTATACGAGAAGGTGTATTTCTTTCCCGTACAATTGGCGCCGTCTGTGGGAACCAACAGACAAGAACAAAAACCTCTTGACTAAGCTTCTCCTTTTCTCGATCAATGGCACATATTGAGGAACTACCGCAGTCCGCCGTCGACGGACTAACTCCGGATGGGGGCGCAAGACGTGAAGGATTACCCTCTGTCCCTCCCATGGCGGACTTGGAACCCCAACGACATAGCTCCAAGAGGGATGGAAGGGGGAGACGAACTAACAGCCCCCGTCACTCTCGTTCACAAAGTCCTGACAGGCAAAGGATGAGGATTGATCCTCAAGCTCTGGAAGACCGCGTGAAGGAACAAGATGAATTGATAAGAAAGATGGCAGCGGACATGGAGGCCTTGAAACGCCAGATGAAGAAAAAAGAAGTAGCGACAGGAGAGGGGCACAAACACAAGACGCCCCCTCGCCGCTCAGAAAGTCATGATAGGAATACCACACCCTCACAAGGAGAGAGCAGAAGCCTCAGGACAGGCGACACTCATTCCTTATCTTCCAGAACTCGTCACTCCAGGTCTGAGAGGACGAGATCTGAGAAATCAAACACTGAAGGAAGCACATATTAGCCCTCACATTCGCACCAAACCAGATCTAGACAGACAGAGCTGCCCAGGTCATCCGACTTACAAACCGTGCTCGAAGAAAAAGCACGATGCAAGGAGGATGCCAGGGCGCGAGATCCACACGGAGTCTCTGCCTTACAGCGGTTGGCTCCTCGGACGCATGGAAGCGTCGAGGTTGGAATGCCAATACCGCGCCCAGCATACGAACCAACGGACAAAGCCTTAGCAAGACTACAGACTTCACCCGTTTGTTCCGGCAATCGAAAACGCGCCCCTACCAACAGGCTTCCTTCAGCCGAAATTCACTACATATGAAGGGAAGACGGACCCGTATTCACACCTGAGCCACTTTCGCCAAGTCATGGCCGTATACAGGCGAAACGAGGCCTTAATGTGCATACTCTTCCCATCAAGCCTTGGCGACCTAGGCCTAACTTGGTTCGAAAAACTTCCTGAAGGAAGCATAGCCTCCTGGGCTCAATTGACAGAAGCGTTCGTAACAAGGTTCCGAACAAACACAAAAACACCGGTGGAGATCGACCAGTTACTCTCCATCGACATGGGGGATAAAGAGACCCTTAGATCCTACAACAGTCGCTACTGGGAAACATTCAATCAGATTGGGGACTGCCCCACCAATCTTGCCATTGCGCAGTATAAAAGAGGCCTTCCAGTCGGGAACAGAAGAGGATGGCACACGTGCTAGAGCAAAATCTAGTGCGACCGCAGTACCAGAAAAAAAAACCTCAGCAAAGGTTAATACAGTAGGTCGGCAGAATAGAAACGGACGTGGCAAACGAGATAACGGTGAAGACCCAGACAAAAGATGGTTGAGAATCCGCACTGCCATAACAACGGTGTTCAAAAAACCGATATATCGGATTCTGAGCAAAATAAAGGATGAGCCTTTCGTCAAGTGGCCAGCAAAGCTAAGAGAAGCTCAGAAAGACTACGATGACAGATCACAGTGCACCTTCCATAAAGAAAAGGGGCACCGAACTGAGAATTGCACGCCGTTAAGACAGCACTTGGAAGAGTTAGTAGCAGCAGGTCACTTGGACAAATACATTGAAGGAGGGACACAGCCAGCCCCTCAGGATCATAACAACCCCAATGGAATGCCAATCGACGCCCCACCACAAGGCATTATCAATGTAATACACGGAATCTTTGAACCTGAGCGTGTATGCGAGCTCAAGGGATCAATCAAAAAGGCTGAGCACTTTAGAGAAGTACAAAGTGCCCAACCTGCCTTTAAGAAGGGGAAGACAGAGGCAACAAACGTCATGTCCTTTTCGGACAAAGACTTAGATCGAATATACTGCCCCCACAATAATGCCCTGGTCGTCACTCTCCGAGTCAAGGATTTTGACGTCAAACGGATTCTGATTGACCAGGGTAGTTCATGTGAGATCATGTACTACGAAACATTCAAACAGCTGAAGCTGCAAGACAAAGACTTGGCGCCTGCCGTGTCTCCCCTGATTGGATTCAACTCCATGCCAGAATGGCCCGTCGGCAAGATAATTCTTGCAGTCAGAGCAGGAAGCGTGACAAAACAAGTGGAGTTCTGGGTGTTGAAAGTCCCCTCCACTTACAACATCATCCTGGGTAGAACATGGCTGCATGCCATGCGATCGGTGGCGTCATCTTACCACCAAGTAATGAGGTTCCCCAACGACACTGGTATAATTGAAGAAGTCTATGGGGATCAGATCATGTCAAAACAATGCTTCGCCACGGTGAATGGCAGCCGCGCTGCCAAAGGATACGTTCATTCAGTGGAAGAACCAGAAAGTAATGAACTATTTGCAGATGTCGGCAAAGCGGCGGATCAGAAAGCGGTGGAGGACTTGGTAGAGGTAAAAATAGATGAAAAGAACCCGGATAAGTTCTTTTTGCTCGGTTCGTCGTTGTCCAGCACTGAGAGATTAGAGGTCTTGGAATTCTTAACCTCTAACATCGAAGTGTTCGC